TTTCTCAAAAATAATATCTATTCTTTTAATGAATTTTAATCCTCCATATTACATAACTTGTATCCCTTTACACCTTCGAAATAACTAATAAAGACACAATTTACAAACCGAACATCAAGTTTTTCTGTCTTGGTATGGACAAATGCAAAAGCTCCAAAAACCTTCAACCCACTACCAACAAAGAGTCATAATCAATAAATTACAAATGAATTAAAATATATTATCTCAACAAATTCATAGAAACATCACTTAATTTATATCCATTTGAGATTCAATCTCGATAACCTCCCAATACAAGAATCACTCAATTTCAAGGTGTGAAGAAGAGTTTCGCAACCCTTATATTAGAACTAAAGAAAACCCAAATCCTTACAATGAAGAATTCTAATAATTTTCTCTTTGTATATCTAACTTCTTTCTTTATAAACCTTCTAACTCAACAATGGAAGAGAACATGTATGACATATGAATCAAGGCACACACCTCACACATGATGCACACGCCTCATATGAGTTTTTCAAGGAAAACTTCCACACCATCTTTCAAGTACTTCTTGGCATTGATCAAAGTTCCTCTTAGTCTATTTCATGTTTTCTTAGTCTTTTCACCTATTATTGAGTTTCTTCTTCGCCTATAGTTTTCCATAAACTTTTAATTAGTTTTGTTTCTCCTCCATCTTTGAATTCTTTTCATATTGTGGTATTGCTTGTTCCACAATTTTAATTTTAATTCTCTGAAGTGGCTTATGAGACCGACATCAATTTCAACATTTTTTCAAGTATTAAGTTGTGATAGAGAGTTATTATTAGTTAATTTAACTTTAATAGTTTATTTAGTATTTTATATTAGTTATTGTTTTGTAATATTTTTAGAAGTTTCTTAGTCTTTAAGATTGTACCACATGGATGACTATGATATATTTAAAGTTTTATATATTGAGGTGTAATGTGTTATTGAAAATCAATCAAAAAAAATTAAAAGTTATCTTTCATCTCTATTTTCTTAGCTTGCTTTTAATGTCTTTTTAGAAATTTATATATTTTTCATAGTTTGTTAAATGGACAATTTTGAGACGAACAATAAGTGAAATGCATTCATATAAGCCAAAGAAATTATTTGAAATTGGTTGTAGAAAAAATTATGGATTCTCACATATCTTTTGTGAATGTTAATCAGTTCAATATGTTGACTTTGTCAAGGATATTGGTATCATGTCTATCACCCTTTGGATGATGGAGGGTTAAATATTAGATCTCTTTCCACTAATCTCAAGCTCAATTGGGAATTCTTGAAGTCATACATCATTTGAGATAACATGCTTAGACAAATGGTCTTAAGAAAAGAAAATCATATTGCTTATCAATGTGTTAGAATCAACTTTTTTGGATAGATGATTGGTTGGGATAACATGTAACATTGTGTTTAGGAAAATTGGCAGAAAGTGCCAAGTGTATGCTGCCATGTGGGACTGAGTGTAGTACAAACTCTTTGGAGCAAAGGCACTTGACATATAAAATTGAAAGCTCATTTTTTCTCAATATCCTCTTTTTCAAAAAAAATAAATCTCAAATACTCTAATTTTAAAAAAGTCCTTAAAGTTCAATTTTTGGAACAAAATATTATGGTAATGTCTATCAACAATCCAAATGTTGTTTTGCCCCTCTTCGGCTATTTCAGAGTTTATCCCCATTATTTATTTTCATTTTTAATTTGTTTAATATATAACATATATTTTTTAAAAAAATATACATGAGAAAAATTAATTTTATAATGCATTTCTTTTGGAAAATTATATTATTAAATATTCTATTAAGAAAAGTAATTTTAAATTATTTAATATATATTTTAAAAATAGGAAACTAATTTTTAAAATTTTGTTTAGAAGAAAAAATAGTTTTGTAAAGCATTTTTTTGGCATATTCTACTTATAAATATTATTTTATCACAATAGTAAAACAATTTTCTATAAATTAATATATTTTTATAAATTAGGAAAAATAATATTAAAACATTTATAGAAGAAAAAAATAATTGTATAATGCAATTGTTTTGGAGTTTTCCATTATCAACATAGGAAAAATAATTTTGTATTATTTAATATAAGTTTTTAAATTAGGAAAAATAATATCAAAATATTTATAGAAGAAAAAAAATTTAATAACGCATTTGTTTTAGCATATTCTATTATTTAATATCCTATTATCAAAATAGGAAAATATTTTATATTTAATTAATATATTTATATAAAATATTAAAACTAGTATAAAAAATTTATAGAAGTAAATAATAATTTTATAATTCCTTTCTTTTGGAATTTTCTATTATCAAAATAGGACAAATAATTTCTATCATTTAATATATTTCTATACCTAGAAAAAATATTTTAAAAACTTACAGAAGAAAAAATATTTTATAAAGGCATAATTTTTTGCATATTCTATTATTTAATATTCTATTATCGAACAGGAAAAATAATTAATATTTAAATAATATATTTTTATAAAATGTGAAAAATATTATTAAAAAACTTTAGAAGAAAAAACCAATTTTATAATGCACTTTGTATTGGAGTTTTCATATATATTTGTTTTTCATATTCTATTATCAAAATAGGAAAAATATTTTATATTTTACTATTATATTTTATTAAAATAGGAAAAATAAATATAGAAAACTTATACAAGAAAAATTATTTCATATATTTTCATAAAATAGGAAAAACATTAGATCAAATAATAATTGTATAATGCATTGTTTTTGGCATAGTTTATTATTTAATATTCTTTTAATAAAATAGGAAAATAATTTTCCACTATTTCACATATTAATTAATATATTTTAAAAAATACAAAAAATATTTTTTAAAAATTTATATTAAAAACAAATTTTCAATTGATTTGTTTTTTTTTATAACATCCCGAAGATTTTAAACGAGCTAAATAATTTGTTATAGTGGAAAAACGAGTTTAAAATGAATTTCATGTGTCAAAATAAATAAAAAATAAATAAAAATTATTTACAACTCAATTGAGGTAAAAATTAAGATTTAGATAACCCTAAACCTAGACTATCGACATTGTGATATGACCCTGACATATTTTAAAATAACTTATTTTATAAGGGAGTGAGACACTACAATCTTAATGAGTTCTCAAATTTATGATAAAATATAATATGTCACTTATAAAAATACAACTAAAGGATTATTCCTAATAAGTTAGCGATCATATGACGCCCTCATGGAGGTACTGCCTCACTCCCCAAGTACTCACATATCGCCTAATTATGAGAAACGTGAGATATGACGTTTCTTGCGCAGAGAAAAGTCATTATTAGTAATTTACCCACGTCCCGTTGAAAGGGACTCAACAACCCACCATTGACTAGGTGGGTCGTGAACATTCCAAGAAAATCTTAGGCCAAGGCCTCTATAAACACCTCTCCACCAAAGGGAGAGAGGAGATCCTAACTCATACACTTATATCTAAGCACTCAACATGTATACAAAGCCTCTGACTTCATGTGCACAAGTCCTTTAAACCACAATAAACACCAAAGCTTCTCTCTTTTGTGGGCAAATCTTAACCACCATTATTTATTATACACCTACTAAGGCCTTTGTATGCTCCTTCCCTTGCAGGGGTAACATGCACACTTGTATTTTTCGACCAATACAATAAAGTCCACCTTGGGGTTCTGGTAAAACTAACCTAGGCCACACTCTATCTCCTACACCGAAAGTACCAGTGGTACCAGTGATGCCGACTATGTGGTGGAGATGCGTGCCACCATAGACGAATTACGATGTTATAATAAGACGATGTCCATAAAATTAGATAACGCAAAGAGGAGTCCAATCCCCTATAGGAAATGTAAGTGTTGGATCCCTAACCACTTTCACATGAGATATAGGGAGTGCATGTCCCTGAGGGATTCAAATCTCCCTCTTTGGCCAAGTTAGATTGGCATAGTGACCCTTTTGATCATGTTGCCTCCATCAACGCATATATGGTCATCATATTAGCGTCTGGAACTCTGAAATGCAAGATGTTGTCTGGAAATTTCAGGGATGCCGCCTTGTGATGGTATATGGCTATACATCGTACCTCCATCGCCAGCTATCAAGAGTTGGTAAGGAAACTTGTACACCAGTTTGCCGCCAGCCACCATAAAAAAATGTCCACCACCAACCTATTCAACGTATGACATGGTGCATTAGAGTCGTTGATGGACTAACTCGCCCGATTTAATGAAGCCACTGTTAAAGTCGTCCCACTAAATCAAGTAATATTTATGGGGGTGTTCCAAAATGGGCTCAAGGCAGACACTTCAATGAGTCTCTCGCCCACAAGAATGAGTAGAGAAACGCTGAAAAAGAAGGCGCGTGATGTTAAGGAGCATGTTCCGAATGCTGAGGGTTCACACCACCAGAAGAAGAGTAATTATACCTCTCCCATTAAAGATAAGATTGTGTTCAAGAGAGTAGGCAAGACGACAAATAACTCCATGCCCCTATACACCCACCATAAACAGATCTGACGCGAGGTTCTTTACCTACACAACATCCCTACCCTCCCACTCTAAAGGAGGATGTAATGGTTCTTGAACCACAAATATGGTGCAAGTTCCATAGATTCTAGGTAGGGCTGGACAACGGGCCGGGTTGAGCAGTTTCGGGCCCAAAAGCCTCATCCAACCGAATCCGCGGTTGAATAATATAAACTCAATTTCACCCATTTTCTTAATAGGTTTAGTCGGGTTGCATTATGACGGGCCGCAGGTTAATGCAAGCGGTTTAATCGATTTAATCGATTCAACATAAATTAAAATTCAACATACATTGAATATAAATTGAAACGACTACAACATAAATTAAGCATCAATATATATTCAAATTACAACTTGAATATCAACTACTATCAATAGCCTTAAATATAACTCCAATAGTGAAACCAACTTCTCAACTTCCCTCATGAATAGCATACTCATGCACACCATATTCATTCTCTGCATCATCAAATGCATAATTTTAAGTTAAAACCCAATAGTGATCAACATTTCAATATAGTAATCAGATAAATTATGCCAAATAGCTATACTGATATTAATGTGTTTCCATTGCTATTTTATAAAAGAAGAAGAATGCCAATAGTAGTTATACATTGGGGATAACTATGGCATAATTTGTGTGACACTAAAACTATACCAAATAGTTATCGATAATAATGGTCTATGTTAATACATAGTAACATAACTACATTAACATAAATTTACTGCTATTTGTTTGAAACTAGTGTCACTATTCCAGAACTATGCCAAATAATAGTTATACATAGGGGGATAGCTACTGCATAATTTGTGTGACACATATTAATGCCAAATACATAACTATGGTAATAATAGCTATTTGAAAATAATTCTAATTATTTGGAATTATTTGTCAATAGTAGTTAAAATAGTAGTAAATTAAGAAAAATTAGTGTCCCACAACATACATCAACTAAAATAATGGTTTCTAAACATAATACTTAAGAATCTAAGTCACAAGTTTCAGGTGGCATTATGATTTATAAATACCAGTACATGAATGATATAACTCTCGTCCGGTTGTTTTCATCATTGAGACTCAATAGACACATTAATCATTTGCAAAAATATTGATTAGTAGGTTTCTATTATTTTCTATTATTGTACACACTTATCCTTTTTATTATTTTGTATACTCCCATTTCGTTATAGCCTATAGTCGCAACCAAGTTGACCAATACCAGATAAAAAAGAATGTGACACTTAAATGTTTCTTTGGCCTTCTTGACACAAATTTCTCAAACACTATAGTTAAATAACTGAGAGAGGGACCAAACTATTAGAGTGAGAGAAACAACAACAATAAACCAAAAACACAAAGCATAATCACCTGTAGAGTGATAGAACTGGTTCAAAGACATTAATCACCTGTAAACAACAACAATCATCACAAACCCTAAATTAAAAACCATAAATTCATAAACCCTAATTAAAAATTCTAAATAAAAAACCCTAACTAACAAACCTGAGTGAGAGAACTGAGAGAGTGATACCACGTTAGCGAGAACCTTCGAGAATCTTTGATTTCTGAGTGAAGAACTGGGTGGGAATAAAAGAGTGAGAGAAGTGAGCGAACGAGAAGAGTGAAAGAATTTGGGAAGTCAGAGAACGAGATAGTGGGACTGTGAGAGAAGTAGAACATGAGAGTAAGTGAAATGAGTGAATGATTTTGATTCTAAGGTATTAACCCTCCCCCAAAATGCAGTGTTTCTTAACGGGCAGGTCTGGGTATCCATGGATAAGCTTTTGATACCCGGCATGCCCTTATGAACCCTTTTTAACCCGGGTTTACAACCCGTTTGACCCGTTGGGCCGAGCCAAACCACTCAAATACTTTTTTTCTTCGGTTTTCACATGATTGGGTCTGGTGGACGATTTTTGTCCACCTTTAATTCTATGGATACCACACCAAGGATTGTTACTAAGTCAAGTAAAAAATTGACAGACTAATCTAAAAAGGACACCTCAATAAATATGTGAAGGGTGACATTTCTCATGGGTTAGATAAGGTCAACTTGCGAGGGCGAGATGATGTAGGAAGCCCCACGATCAAAAAATCAAAAGAGGCATCTTAGGGCGGGGACAGTAAAGTTGTGCGCCACACACACAAACGTTATAGCTGGAGGTTTCACTAGTGGAGGCAGCTCTAGCTCCTCATGAAGGAAATATGTAAGGTAAGTGCCCTTTCTCCCATCAGATCACAAAGATGGGCACTTCCAAATGATGTTTACATTCATTAACGTGTAATTTAAGAATTAAACATACATAATTAGTTGTAGACTTCATTCAATTTAATTGTTGATGACACCCTATCATTATTAATTTTATTAAGCATTTGCAGTTGTTTAAGTCATGTTTTATATTAATTGTGAAGAAAAAGAAAAATCATGAAGAAATACAAAAAAAATGTGAGAAACATAGCAAAAACTAGAAAATTGTGAAGAAAAAGGAAAATTCATTCATTGAAAAATCATGCCCAGACCGTGACCCAAAATGAATAGATCGCATTATGATATAAAGAGATTGTCACGCGATCTAGATGTTACAAAGAGCATCGCGACACGACCTAAAGTGATTGTGATACAATTTAACCTACATTCTGACACGTTTTGACTTCTATAAAAGGGGGGATGCAATTTGTGGAGGATCTTTTTCTTGGCCCAAGTTTTGACGGCAAAGACATAATTGAAGCTCCAAAATTAAGGTTTTCATCATCTGAAGCAAAATTTCTATTAGAAATTCATGTATGGTTTACATACTTCTATTGTTATAAACTATTTCAATATGAGTAGCTAATTTCCTTTAATTAGGATTTGTTTGATGAACCTATTGGATCATATGTTTTAGTTTTGTACTACTTGCATATTTTGATTAATCAGTATTTGTTACTCAGTTAATGTTGTGCTCATTTATTTGTATGTGTTGACGAGCTCGAGTATCAAACCTAGAATTGTAAGGATTATTGACCATAACTTTGTGATTCTGAACTGGATTAGCTGTTCAACTTAGTAATTAATTATTAATTAATTATAAGTTGTGACTAGAGGTTTAACGATCCAAATTGTCTGTTTTAACTTTGAGCTAACCTAAGTATGGCTAGAAATGAGTCGAGTCGAACTTGTCTTAGATCAACTTGACTCAATAAGAATTAATTCCTCTTGGAACTCGACTCGAATTTGAAAAAGAAGTTTAAGCTCAAACTCGACTCATTGTAAGTTCACGAATAACTCGATTCAACTTCTTTGGTTCAACTCAGGTTCAACTTGTTTGCTTCATGAACTTAAAAGTTATTTTTTTTTTATATATTTGACATTTATATTAATTTTTTAAAACAAAAATATTAAAATTAAATAAAAGTGATAAGATTCAAATTTAACTTTGTCTCAAAAATCTACAACTTCAAAAACTACACAATTTTCAAGAGATACATTTGAAAGTCTAATTCAAAAACTACTAGAATTAAGTCGACCAAACTATATATATATATATATATATATATATATATATATATATATATATATATATATATATATATATATATATATATATATATATATATATATATATATATATATATATATATATATATATATATATATATATATATATATATATATATATATATATATATATATAATCGAGTTGGCTCATAAACCTAACGAGTCGAACTATACATAGTTCAAGTTTAACTCAATAGTTAATGAATTTGGTTTTTTGCTCATATTCACTTCATTTGGTTCATGAACCAAGTTCAAAGATTTTGTTGTCGAATTGAGTTTCAAACTATGTTCAAGTTGGTTAAGTTCATTGTAGCCCTAGACCGAAGTAATTAGGGATTTTTATTGTAGAATAGTGAGTTATACACCAAGGGATTGGGTATAATAGCTTAGTTAAAGCGTCGTAATTTCTGATGAATCAGCTTAGGACAAATAATGACATATGGAGGATTCGAATCAAAGCCTAATTGTATTTAATTTGATAAATTTTCCATCATTTTATTTACACATTTTATATCAATTCAAACCTTGAAAACCCTCCATATTTTATTATTATATCACGTTAACTGTTTTGTTAAAGTAAAACAATCCATGTGGATGTGAGCATTTTTATTACTTGCAATGTGATTTAGTAATCTTTCTAAATATCTATCAAGTTTTTGGGTTTGTTGTCGGGGATTATTGACTTATTTCAACAATGAAATTTTTGTGCTACACTTTTATCTTAAAATTTTTAATTTTTGTTTTTTATTTAAATTATATTTATACTCCTAATTAGTTTTTGTTTGGTGCAATGCTACTAAGGTATTTTCAACTGTTTATGCGAGGTTCAAGCTCGACGCTGATACCATTTGACTCAGAAATTGAGAAGACAACAACAAGAGGAATTCAAAGAGCATCTAGAGAAATAAAAATAGCTAAAGAGAAGTTGGAATAAGAGATATTTCTTTTGATAACAAAGGCGATCAAGAAAAATATGACATGGTGATTTAACCAAGACAAGCGATGGGAGACTACTCCAGAAGAACAAAAGTTGGACAAATTTCTTAAAGATTTCAACCTTCTAATGCTCTTACTTTTAATATTAATAATTATGTGTTTTCAAGTTTGAGAGAAAAATCGTTCGACGAACAAGATTTTAGAGACATGTGGGAGCATATGTGTGATACGGTGGGAGAACTGACTTGGGTTTTGCGTTTGTTTTTGCAAATGTTTCGGTTTAGCAAGAGTCGCCACCGACTTTTTATTTTATCCTAAGGAAAGGTTAAAAAGAACAGCAAAAACCTTTGAGATGTTTTCTTGGGTTCGGGGAGTAGATTATAGAAAGGGAAGGTATTAGCACCCTTTCTATCCATGGTTATCCATGGGATCTTAGTTACTTGCTTAGATCACTTGCCTTACATTTTCAATTGGTTTAAATGGTGCTTTCAATTGTTTGAAATGGTGCTTTGTGTGTGGGTTTGAAAATGTTTTGAAAAGAGGCCATTATTGTGGCAACCTTTGTAATGATTCATGTTTGAATGTATACAAAGGTGTATTTGTCTTTTAAAAAGTTTTCAATGTTTTTGAAAGTTGTTTTAAAAGTGTGTTGTGATGTGTGTTTTGAAAAAATGGCAAGGATTGTTTTGCAAGATTGGTCAAGTAACCAAGAGCTATCTACCCTAAATTTCTCAAAGATCTTTCCTATGTTTTAACCCTTTTAACAGTATTGTTCCACCATTGTATTTGGTGGACAATCTTGTGTTAGGATGTTAACGGGACGGGCACGGGTCATCGTTTAGACCATGATTGCAATAGTGCCAAGTGTCTTTGGCAATTTTTCCTTTAAGGGACTTGATCATTTTTTAGGCAACTTTCGAAAGCGTCATCGAGGGACTATGATCATTTGAATTGTTTTGTTTTGCCAAAGAAACTCAACATGCAACATGGCCCATTATTAAAGGCAACAAGTGGAGGAACCCTAGGGGTGCAAGTGTGATTGGTGTTGTCCATTTTCATGCTTTGTTGTCTTTGAATTAGGTCAAGCTATTTGTTATTTGATTTTCGCATACAAATCCTAAGTCTATCATGGCATATTTAGAAAGCTTTAAAATGCGGAAAATAAAATCCTAAATTATTACAACATAATTATGGGACGGGGGGTACAAATATTCAAATGGGGATATTTAGCAAGAAATTTAAATCTAAGCTATTACATCCAAATTGAATATACAAGTTATTTTAATTATACAATAATTGAATAAATACAAATAAAATGTAAAATGTATTATGCACAAAAATGTTTTTATGTGTAAAAAGTATTTATCATGTGACATATAAACAAAAATAAAAAAAGTATTTACTATTTATCATATACAATATTTATTAACTATATACAAAAATAAATAAAAGAGAAGTATATTATGAAAAAGTAATTTTTGAGGTCAAATATTAATAAAAATAAGAATGTATTATTTTTGTATTTTTATCCTAAATATTCTAATAAATATATAAGTATTTATATTATGTATTAAATATATTAAATATATACAAAAATAAAATATTTATTATTTATACAAAAAAAAATATATTTTAAGGAAATGTTTTCAAAAAGGTAAATAAAAAATAAGGACTAAAAAAGGATAAATATTTTGTATTATTTTCTAGGGTTTTAAATAAAAGGAAACATATTATTTACATATATATGCCTAACAAAACAAATAAATGCCAAATAAATATAAAAAAATGTGAAAATATATTTTTAGTGTTTTTTCATGTTTGAGCAAAAATATAAAATCAGAATCAAAAAGAAAAAAATCAAAAATGACAAATATATCACATAATGGGCCAGGGGGGTGTATGTGGAAAAATGTGGTGCAAACAGAAAAAACAAGTCAGGCCCAGCCCAAGGGGCTTGTCTTCAACCTCAAGCCATGTTTGAATGACAAAACGCGCGCGCCTCTTGCACCAAAACTAACTCCTGATTCTTTGACTTTTAACAAAAACTCACAACATCAATAATGTAGAACAAGCTGTCACGATTCTAAACATATAAAAAAGTTGTTCTAACTCTCAGAAATGAGAGAGAATTTCTCCTCCCCCAATTCCTGACCTAACTTTTTTCCAATGTTCAGGTTCAAAATTCTCTCAGTACACACCACATAAA